CACTGGACTTTGATTTTATGTTGTATTAATGAGGGATATAGTATTCTCAATTTTGATTGTGAATGTAGGAATTTTTTAATTGTGTCAATTGACAAGATGGAGGTTATTAAGGTTGTTATAGGATTTTGATTAATAGTTTCGTTGTCAATTTTGGTATACTTTTGTAATTGATTTTTTTTTTATTCTTTTGATTATTAATTTTGTTGTATGTATTTAATTAACAATTTTATAGTTTCCTTTATTATACATTTTCCTTTCCTTAGTTTCCTTTATATAGTTTTATGATAGTTTCTTTTGTTAACAATTTTGTTGTACGTGTTTAATTGACCATTTTACTATACTTGTTTAATTAAACGTAGTTTATTAACATCTATCTTGTTTAATTTATGGACAGTTTTATTATGCTTGTTTGACTAAAATTTTGAATTATATAAATATTAATTAATTTTTAATTGTGTTAATTTAAAATTATATTCAATTTTTTAAAATTATGTTAAATAAAAATTGTATTTAATTTTTAAAATCATATTCAATATGCATAATTATAATTGTAATAATTTACAATAATATGCAATTTTAAAAATGATAATAATATAAAACAAATTTCTTCTAATAAACAAAATAAACTGCAAATAGTGCTAGTGACATTTTTAATGAACTATCAATGATGCTAGTGATATTTTGAATAAACTACTAATGGTGTTAGTGACATTTTTAATGAACTAACAAAAATACTAGCTAAATTTTTAATAAATTACCAATAGTGCTAATGAAATTTTTAATACACTTCTAATAGAACTAGTTAATTTTTAATAAACCTATAATAGTACTAGTGAAATTGTTAATAAACTACTAAAGTACTATTTAATTTTTAATACACCTCTAATAGTCCTAGTGAAATTTTTAATAAACTACTAATAGTACTAGTAATATTTTTAATAAGCTACTAACAATACCAATGGCAATTTTAATAAACTACTAACAATGCTAAACAAATTTTCAATAACCACAAACAATAAATAAATAACAAAATTAAATTACACACATTCAGTCTTTATTTCAAATTAATTAATATTTCACAATTAACTCACAGAAACGTAACACAACGAGATAAACTTGAAGATATGAAGGAGGCTTGAATGGAGGCGAGTTTATACGAAAATAGAATCTATCATTCCCAGTGAAATGGTTATAAATGACACATTGTCGAACGTTTACGTTATCCGACATCGAGTGGAAATTAACTTGTAGTACAATAATGACGTCAACACGATTGACGTCATGTGCAAGGTAGAACTTTTAATTTTATCTACATAACTGTGTTCATCGTTTATGTAACACCAGCTGATAAATGAAGTTGTACTTGGTCTATACGTATATGCACTGTTTTTAGAAGCTTTTTGATTGGATTGATATGAATGAGCTATAGGATATTTTTAGTAAAGTAAACTTTTTGCGGTTCGAAATGATCTTACAAAAATAATCTTGTTAGAGAATTAAAGAATTAATCTTCAAGAAGATGTGTTATTTTTAGTTTTGTGAAGTTTTATCGTTAATAGAAGTTTATGAAAATAGGTAGTAAGAAATGTTATTGCTAGTAAATAATAAAATTAAGTATTATTAAATAGAGAGTGAAATGGGCCACAAACTTTAGACTTTTTGAATTCATGAAAATTAGAAAATTTTAAGATTTCAACTTCTCAAATTTTCAAATTCCGAAATTTCTAATTTTCCAAATTTACAAATCTCCAATTGCCTACATCACCAAATTTCTAATTTCTCAAATTCCCAAATTTCCAATTTCCTATATCACAAAATTTCTAATTTTCCAAATTCCCAAATTCCCAAATTCCCAAATTTCCAAATTTCCAATTTGCTATATTACAAAATTTCTAATTTCCCAAATTCTCAAATCTCCAATTTTCTAAATTCCCAAATTTCTAATTTTCCAAATTTACAAATCTCTAATTTTGTATACCCCCAAATTTCTAATTTCCCAAATTCCCAAATCTCCAATTGCCTAAATCCCCAAATTTCTAATTTTCCAAATTCCCAAATTTCCGATTTTCCAAATTCCCGATTTTCCAAATTCCCAAATCTCCAAGTACCTTTACCCCCAAATATCTACTTTTCCAAATTCTCAAATCTGCAATTACCCATATCCCCAAATTTCCCTAAATATCCCTAAATTTATAATTTACCAAACTCCCAAATTTCCAGCTCCTTAAATTCAAATCCAAATCCATACTACAACACTATACCTATTACCCTAAATATACAATGAAATTACCCAAAACAAATGTATAATATACAAGTAAAAATACAGAATAAATAGAACACAAAAAAACATCTTTCAAAATAAGCTGTGAGCTCAAATAAGCTGTAGCATAGTAACAGAACGAGAGAGGCCATCTTTACGGTGCCTAAAACGCTTCCACACGCATCCTCCTAGGGAATTCTACAAACCTGGTAGGCCTGTCAGTCAGGTCCATTTTTTCCCGACTCGCCGAAAATTATTATCCATAGAGGCAGCCGACCAATGAGCTGTCCCCTCGTTCGCTTCGTCATCCACATTATGGCGGGAATGCACGTTCGGTTTGTTGCTTTCCTATTACCAGGTGGTATTTAACTCGCCCATGGCAGGTCACGTGGGTGAACCTGTTCGAAGTTATCCATCCGGTCATGGTCGCATCCTGTCCCTCGGTTTCTAGTCGCCTAATAAAAAAATAGCCGCATTATCGATCTTTGCCGATCAAGTTTATCGTTTTAATTGAACGTCAGACACACTGGACTTCCGGTAAACCTATGCTGGCCTGGTGCGCGATTCTTGTTAGTATACATACCTGAAACGATCGATCGTGTTATGTAAATTATACTCTGTTGAGGTAGTTTATTTATGGATTTAATTATGCGGCTATTTTTGAATGTTTGTGGATGAGGGGGACTTATAATGACTTCTTTCTTGAAGGGGTTTGTGAACATCTTGGAAGGGCGATTTTAATTTAAATATTGGATTCGTTGGTTGGTAGGTTATTAGTTTTTATTGGAGTATTTGTACGGGTTAGTGTTTCTTTTAATAGTTTACTAACTTAACTAACATTTTATTTTGATGTTATAAATTAAAGTTAAATATGCAATTGAACCTGTGTAAAATGGTACATAAAATTTTTAAAACGGTACATTTTACTTAATGATACATTAAAATGGTACATTTTATAAATTTGTTTATAATGTTCTTATAAAAATATCAGATGAATATAAAAATATCTACTGTTCGTAGTAAATGTCTATCCTAATTTACTAAATATTAAACAGTAAGTAAAAGCGTAATGCAAGTCTATTTGTTTATATGCATTTTATACATTATGTTTTTAAAAACGAGATTAAAAACTTAGCTTAATAACAAAGAACTAAATTTCTAAGAACCAAATAAATACGATATTCAAGGAAGAAATTTTGTTAACATAACCTAAAAATCTAACACCATTTCCATATTGCAACCCCAAAATTAAATATATAATACACTTATGAACCAAAAATGTCAATACACTTATGAACCAAAAATGTGAATACACTTATGAACCAAAAATGTGAATACACTTATGAACCAAAAACAAAGTATGAATGGTAGATAAAACTTTGTTAAAGATATTTCAACCCAAAATACATTTAACAAAGTATCTTATCAGAAACATCTGCAGCCTTGCGTAAAGGGCCAATCGAACCCTACAAGAGTTCCACGTGTATCATGTTAGCCTGCTCTCAAAACCAACCAAATTTAGACCCTACAAAGGGAAAGGGCTTAAACCCATCCCAAGGAGCAGGGGATGTCGTAAAGCATCTTCCTTCAAGGTAGATATTGGGCAAGTGGTCAATGGTTAGACCCAGTAACTGCTGCTCGCCTGATCAGTGGTCAAACGAAAACATTTCTCAGACAATGAAACTGTATAAATTATCCTCTTGCGTTATACCTGACCGAAACCTTGGGTGAACCCTAATGGACAGTTTGGACGGTCAGACAATTTTATCTTTAGAAACTTGTCCTGAAGAACGATTTAGAGAAATTGCATCTCTATATTGAAAATTCTCTCTGAAGATTTCTGCACTTTCTATAATTTATATCATATAATAATTTTATAATTTTATATATTGTATTAAATTATTATTTCCCATTTATTATTCTATTCCTCTGAAACATGAAACTAAAAATAAGGACATCAAATGTGCCCTTGAATTAAATGAAACACCTGATACGTTGATACCATATTTAACAAGACTTCTCACACCAAATTTCATCCCCTTCACACACCTTTCATAAAAAATCATGAAAGTACTTCTTTATGTATTAGTTACATACAAAATTGTGCAATTATAAATTATTAACATTTTTAGTCCAGCTTATATATATGAATAATTCCCACGGTCCAGAAGTCGCAAACAAGATAACCACACTGTCTGAAAAAATGCAAAATGGACGAAACAGCGTAGTTTAGAGATAAGCAAATGTATAAAAGCTGAGACAGGCAGTGCAACAGACTCCAGTGTAACAATAACGAAATCAATATCCGTCTTTAACATTCGATGTTCATTAAATTTTTATATAGAAATAAAATCAGTTTTTTTAAAACCACATGTGTGATAATGCAAATATACATAAGTACAATATAAAGTAAGTCAAATAAAAAGTCTACCTGTTCATAAAAATGTTGTACCACAAATGTGACATAAAGAAATAAATCTCTTAAATAAATACAATATTTGTCATTATAATTAACTTAAAATACTGACTCAAATATTGACTTAAATACAAGTAACACAAGTAATCTTACAAGTAAGATAAATACAAGTTATTGTCAGTATACATGAAAACACAGCTCTCAAAAATATTTAAATTGTTACCAGGAAAGTTAATAAATAAATTAAAATTGAATAGTAAATTCAATAAATCAATGTATTGATTGAAGTGGTTTATGTTAACAGAGTTCATTGCTTGTTTATAGGTCGCCAATTGTCGGTGTTCAATAGCCAATCGACCATTCAAGTAGGTGGTCGGTGGAATCGCAACACAGGAAGAGTAGAGAAGCCATTTTTAGGAATAATTGCCGGTCTCGTCGTGAACGGTGCACGAATTTTAGAGCTCGCTGCCGCGATGGACAGAAGAATTACAAGCAGAGGCGACGTTCAATTACTTCCGGTTGGAAGCCTCTTGGATCGAGCGGCTCCTTTGCAGAGAATGCAACAGGTGATCTGAATTAACGAAAACAGTTTACAAGTGTTATTAACACTAGATTTACGGACGTTTGATGGTCACTTTTATTTAAATTTACCTAAAATAGAAAAATAAATAAATTGCAGATGATATGTGAACTGCCTAAAACATTAATTTTTTTGCTGAAAGTTGACGAAAGTTGACATTTTTACAAAAATTTCTTAACAAACTCTGTCATCTACAATAGACCTATTATCCGTCATTTTGACGGGTTCCGTAAATCTAGTGTTAATTATCGTGGAACTGAAAGTGAATATTGAAAATAAATATTGAAGTGAATATTGAAAAATTGAGAAATTAGCGGGTAAATGTAATTGTACAATATACTGTTGAAAGTAATGAGGTTAGTAATTTAGAAAATGACAGTGTAACAAAAGGAAAATTGAGTACTCAATTTATTAAGTAAGATTTATTTAAATTCTTAATTTATTAAGAATTTATTCAGTTAATTGAATACGTTTACAAGTTTACAAGTTTTAAGATTAGAAGTTAAATTTAGAAATTGGGGTTTGTAATTTGGAAATTTGAGATTGGGATTGTTGGAGTTTGGAAATTAGGTATAGGAAGATATGGGGATTTAGGAATTTGAGAATTTGGGAATTTTGGTAATTTTAGGAATTTTGAGAATTTGGAGATTTTGGGAATTTGGGGAATTTGGGGATTTGGGAATTTGGGAACTTGAGAATTTGGAACTTTAGAGATATGGGAATTTGGGGATTTAGGAATTTGAGAATTTGGAAATTTGGGGATTTAGGAATTTGGGAATTTAGGAATTTGAGAATTTGGGAATTTGAAAATTTGGGAAATTGGGAAATTGGGAAATCGGGAATTTGGGAATTTGGGAAATTAGGAAATTGGAAAATTGGAAAACTGGAAAATTGGGAATTTGGGATTTGAGAATTCGAAAATTTGGGGATTTAGGAATTTGGGAATTTGGGAATTTGGGAATTTGGGAATTTGGGAAATTGGGAAATTGGAAAATTGGGAATTTGGGATTTGAGAATTTAGGAATTTGAGAATTTAAGAATTTGTAAAGATGGAATTTTTGGAAATTTGGGGGTTTAAGAATTTGAGAATTTGGAAATCTGAAAATTTGAAAATTTAGGAATTGTTATTCAAAAATTTAAATCAAAATCAACGCCGACATACTAATACTATATTACACAAATAATTTACCACTACGTTCATATAAACATTCACATACTACTCACACCTATTCTGTCCACATTAAAAATTTTAATAAAGTATATTCATATGCAACTAAATTTTGTTATAGAATATATATTATTTTATTATTAAATATAGATTATTTTTTTTACTTCAATACTCCTCTCTCAAATACACAATTACAAGAATAATGAATTTAAAAAAATGTCCAGCCACCAAACAATTTAACAAATATTTAAACAATATTCAACAAGCTTTTAATAATATTTAACGTCGTATAAAACTACTGATTTTCTATCAAACAAAGACATTTAAAATTCACTAAAATCTCGAGAATTCTATATTCTTTTTCTCCGCAGACGCCAGCGTCCGGTTTTCCGGGTGTTATGGACGATCTCATATTTTCCGGCGCAGGAAGTGGATGTGCCGCTGACGACGAGGACGAAGAATGCACTCCGATCTACGAGCCTGGTTCCGGTAAGTGTAAGTAAAATTTCCAAGGGCGTAAGTTATTCCTTCTGCACGTTTCCTCGCAGAGGAATTTCTTTTACGCACCTCTATCCCACATTTCGCACGTATGGTTACTTTACGTGCACGTTGTGTAAACTCGATCCATAAATTGCGTATTGATCTTGTACGAAAAATTGTATAAATACAAGTATAATTGTTTATATACATATATATTTAGTTTGTCATGAAAGTATTAACCACACTTCTGATGTTTTACAATATTTAATAAAAAGAAAGTTTTAAATGAGTAGAAAATAAATTTGTACAAATTTTTATAAGAATTTTGCTACTTTTATTGATGTAATCTTTTGTTAATTTAATATCAAATGAAGTGACTAAAATATTTCCTACATATGGCATTTGATTGTAAAATCAGTCTAATCTATAAAACAACTGAAAACAGATTTTTAGATAAAATATCTAAAAATAGGGTTCTCATTATATAAAACTTAAACTAAATTACTTTATAAACTAATGTAATAAATATTACGATAAAATATTGTAATATAATAAATTGATTATAAGAATATTTCTAATAATACTACAGCAGAATATTTCTATAACAATCATTGAAAGTCTAGTAACAACGCTTGCCGCTAGATGTCGCAGTAAAGCATCTGTATTTCTGTCTCTCCGTTGCGAACAAGTACAATAAAATATTTCTAAACAGCTAGTTATTATAAAAATTATGTCATCCGATAGTTCTTGTTAATTCAAACAAAAATTGGTCCTTGTAATTTTGCGATTGGAGTGATCGTTTTTGAGTTATGAGCAAATGAAGGCTTTCTCGCAAGTGCTCGGTAGATGGGTCGGTTCGTATATAAGCTCGCGAACAGCACGTTGAGGTTGTGTAGTATGAAAGGAGAGACGTTTAGCACTCCCCTAGACAAGGATGGAAACACACATAAAATGGTAAGGCACTGCCGTCCATGACGGCTCTTACCACATTTTTTTTTTATAACAAGTCACAATATAAATTTTATACTATTTGACACAATGTTTATGAAAAATTTATTTTAACTTAATCACATTTTTTTATAATAAATTAACTGACAGTATAAATTTTATACTATTTGACACACTGTTTATGAAAAATTTATTTTAAACCACATTTTTTTTTATAACATATAAAGTCACAGTATAAATTTTATACTGTTTGACACAATGTTCATGAAAAGTTTGTTGACGAATAAATAATTGCATTTATTTCGGTAAATACTGTGAAAATGACAGACTGACATTATAAAGGAAGATTAAATTAAACTTTTGCTTTTGAAGATATTTTTAATAATACTTTATTTAATAATTGAATCATAACAGAATTTGAATAAAAATTCCTGTAAATTTTATAGAAGTAAACTCAACATTAAAATTGTAAATAAAAATTGTTCGGCTAACTTTTATTTTACAAAAATATTCGTTTATGAACAACAGAGTAAATTGAATAAGGTACGAAAATAAAATTGTATGTTATTTCGTGAAATATGACTTTATTTTTTATTCGAGACGGATTATATTAATGTATAATTGAAAACGTAAAATGCATAACAATTTATTATGCACATAATAAAGCTTGATGTGATACCTCGTGGTTGAAAATGGCCTCTATCTGTGCTCTGTTAACACAGATATAACGTTTGCTTACATAATTAAACACGTGTTTGTTCGTTATAAGTAAAGAACCTGAAAAACGAAATTAAGCTTCATCCTCATATCATTAAATAGTAATAACTGTAACATATGAAATATAACGTCGCTTAATAGTACAAACTAAGAGCAATGCAAATAGTATCCACGTTGGGCTTCGCTAATTAATTATTTTAGGAATAGTTTCGATACTCTTAATATTTAATATTTAATTTAGTTCATTTTTTGTTCAAATAACAAGTAATTTTTTATAAATACTGTTCTAAGTTTTTATTAATCATAAATAAATTACTGTTATAAATTGTTATAATTTGGTGTTATAATTTGCTATAGATTAATATTATATTTCGATATAAATAAATATTCTTTCACACACAATTTCATTTTTCATTCACAAATTTTGATGATAAATAAATTTAATAGTAAATAAATTTTAAATGAATTTTTAACAAATTTTCCTAATAAATAAATAAAATTTAATAACAAATAAATCAAACCTTATAGAGAAGTCAAATTCAGTAACGGATCAACAAAATTTTAATAGCAAACAAGTTAAATTAGGATAACAAATAAATTTTTTCTACATAATTATTGTTGAATAATATAGCTTATTTACTGATAATTTAAATGCTTCAAAGCACCATTTCTTGTCCTTAAATAATAAAACCAATTTCTCATTTAATGAAACATAATTGCTAAAATTCCTCAATGATTTTTCAAATATTAACTGCACTTTGCTCTCTAATGACCACGTTAACTAATTACAGTGAACAATTACATTCGTTTCGCTCTGTAATTCGCTTAATGTTAATAATTACATATGTGATTATTGTTACGTCAATAATTTTTGTCGTGCTCGATAAAATGGCTGCCATTTTACGTTCGTTCAAAATCGTTCACCAAAGTTTAACTTCAAAATCGTACATCAAAGTTTAATTTCAAAATCGAACGTCAAAGCTTAATTTCAAAATCATACAGCAAAGTTTAATTTCAAAATTGTATTCCAAAGTTTTACTTCAAAATCATATATCGAAGTTTAATTTCAAAATCGTACATCAAAGTTTAATTTCAAAATCATACATCAAAGTTTAATTTCATAATTGTACAACCAAATTTTAACCTCAAAGTCGAGTAGCAAAGTATTATTTCAAAATCGCGTATCAAAGTTTAATGTTAGTTTAAATTAATATGATGTACATTGTACAATTTACAACATCAAGTAAGAGGTACATTTTCTTATTTATTTAAAGAAAATGTAAAATGTTTTTAAGAATAAAACTCCTCATATAATATTGTTTATCTGGTTTATTATTTCTGATAATGTTTCTGCTAATGTTAACTCAAATAGGACACAAAATGAAAAGATTAAAATATCATATCTGTTACTTATTTAAAATAAAGTTTTTAGGAGAGTATCTGTCCTATATAAATATGCATATGCATAAGAGATATTTGAACACGCACGCACGATCGGGTTGGGTTCGCATATCGCATGGCATGCCACCTTTTCGTCTTCATGTTTGCCCAGTTGTATCTTCGATTCATTTGCATATTTAGGATGATCCTTGGCGCCCCTCCTTTCACCTAGCCATCGACCTCCTCTCTTGGTCTGATAGCCGGTTTACAAATCTTCTCCGGCTGACTAAAAACCAAATTAGAAGGATCCCTTTAATATGATACGCCATTAAAGAACGCCCCATCATCAAGGAGCTATTTTAGGAAGATGACATTTTATGAAGATAAAGACTGAGTCAGAGAAATGTGACACGTTAAATAATGATCATATCTTCATACAGGATGATTCATTTACGATGTTCAATCTGAAATATCTTTGTCCTTTCGAACAAAATTTTTCTATGAAATTTTCTAATTTCATAGTAAATTTACTTTAAATTTACTAATTTTCAATTATTCCTATAATGAAACAAAAATTATTAATTGTAAAATCGTTAAGGAATTTTTTATCTATTTTTAGAGAAGATGTAGAATTTTGTGCACTACTTTTGGACGAGTCTGTATGAACATTTAAAATTAGATTCGTGATCAGGCTTCGGGGAACATAATGAAGGTTTAATTATACAAACAATACAATGGAAGTTTAATTGTGCAAAAAATACAATGAAGGCTCTATTACACAAACGACACAATGGAGGTTCAATTATATAAAAGGTCGTTTTCATCCATTTTATACGAAATATATAATTAGTCAAGGAATGTTTATTACAAATACTTTTTCTTGGTTTTGTGGTATATTTTTTATTTTAGGATTTTAAGTGTGAACGTAATTTGTAGTTTTTGTTTAAAAAATTTACTTTTTATGGATATTACACGTAGAGGTTATGTATCTTTTGTACAGTATATTGTAAATACGTAAAATTCACTGTTAATGTACACATACACAAATCGTATAAAATAATTTTAATAAAATAACCCTTATTGAGGGTGAGTCAAATGAACTCACTCAGTCATCAAATAATATTAAAATATTTGTCATTTACCGTATAAATTAATTACACTTGACTAATCAATAACTTGCTTTTTGCCCTACAAATTAATTATACCTGTCCAATTAATAACTGGATTAAATTCATTCTACAAATTCGTTATATCATACATTAATATTTATAATATAAATGAAAGGTGATACATATTTATCTTAATGAAAAATCAATTAAACATTCTTTAACCAAAATACTTATTTTTTAGTAAAAAATGTTTAATTAAGATATGCTTATTTTTTAGTAAAAAATATTTAATTAAAATATGCTTATTTTTTAGTCAAAAACATTTAATTAAAAAATACTTATTTTTTAGTAAAAAATGTCTAATTAAAATATGCTTATTTTTTGGTCAAAAACATTTAATTAAAATATGCTCATTTTTTAGTAAAAAATGTTTAATTAAAATATGCTTCCTTTTCGGTCAAAAATGCACAATTAAAAAATATTTATTTAAAAAATAAATACTTCCTAACTAAATAGTGTTACGAATGTAACATAACTGTAAAAAAAAAACAAACAAAACAATCAATATAAAAATAACTTCAAATTAATTCCCCAAACTGTGACCCTAAATGCTCACAGTTTCCAACACCTTCGATTGCAGTCATCGCGCGTCTATCTCGCAAATGATATTAAACAGCCCAATGAAATTAACACCGTTCCGAAACTGTCCCATCGATTAAACCCTCAACGACCCGTCGAAAATCGAACATGTGTTTAGATTCCCTTGGAAACGATATTCAAAGAGGGACACAGGGGAGAGGGGTTGATATCATAGGGTGATGTAAAACGCACCAATCAAACGCGCATTCTATCTCCATTATCGTTGGTACAAGGATCAACGGGTCCTAACCGCATTTTCGTTTCCGGTTACACCGATGACGCAAACCGGTGCCCCTGGAAACCGTGCAATCACACGGAAATTATGCGCAGCGTGCAATTTCAAATAATCACGATCCTCTGTCTGTCCGCAGACGACATAATAACGCCAGTTTACGTCGCCCCGACGAGGTCGCCGACGACGTACAGGCCGAAGCATCACAAGGAGAAGATCGTGGAACGTCCTTCATGCGACGACGAGGAGGACTGCGAGGATGGTTCCGGGGAACCCGTCACCACCGAGGAAATCTTCGTCACATCAGCTACCGGTCCGTTTCCCTTTAGCCTTTGTGTTTTCGTCACACCCGATTTCCATGTGCCCGCGAACACGCGAACCCTGGTATTGATCTTCCTCGTGCACGCTCTTTCCTCTCGTTCACTTCCTAGTAAGTGCACACTGTGCCACCAGCTGAGCATTTCCAAGACTTGGACGGGTTTCAAACTTTTTTTGGACGTCCCTTCTGGAAACGTGATATCGTTGATACGCTATTATTCTAGCACGTGGGAGAGGCACCTTTCGATTTTGAATTTCCCGCCATTTTTTGTAAATATAGTAGCTCTGCTCGTATACTATTTTATAATGGAATGATTATTGTATAATTCTGTTATACGATAGGATGTTTTATTAGACATTTAGTGAATCTTTTATTAGCCATAACAGTCTATACATAAAAATATGCAATTTAATTGCACTTCAATCATATGTGAGCTAATGACCACAGTCAACACTCATATTTCAAACAATCACATTAATTAAATATCGAGTAAGTCTTTCTTAAATAGACTTAAGGTTCTCCAAGACATCGAAAAGAAAAACGAAGCAACCAGATAATTTCCGATAATTCTCCAATGCATTCTCAATAATCCGAGACAATAAAAAATTCATAACACCAATTCGCCGAACAAACTTGGGGCAGATTACAATCATCGACCGAGTTTTCTACGAAAGGAAACAACCTCGATCGAATCTGATTGTGATGCACGTAGCGTAGCATTAATATTTATTACGGGGAAGATCAATTCGTTTCGTAGCGTCATAATTGAAACGGAAGGTTTGTCGATCTTCGATCTGACAGAGGAGATGAAGGAAAACGAACGCGTGAAAACTCGTTATGGAAATGCTCGACTGGCGGACATCCTCTTCATTCCTCGACTTGCTGCGATGAAAGCACTGCCAATCCCGAGTGGCATCGGTTAAAAGTTGACCGCACGGTCGAAATGGGTGCCGCCATATTCGACGCGGGGTTCACGACACTTCTTTTAGTATCGACGTTCTTTGTTGCGAAATAGGATATTTTTTCTTGTGTAGTATTATAAGTGAAACTGTTAAGGAAGGAATATAAGGATATAGAAATGTGGGGTTATGGTAATCTATTGATTTAGGAATCTAGGGATTTAAAAGTCTAGAAATGTGGGAGTATTATTGCAATTTTCAAGTATTATTGCAATTCAAGGATATAGCAATTTAGAGGTGATAGTGTTTAGGGATATAAAAATTGTAGAATATACGAATTTAAGAATATAGTAATTTGGAAATGTGGGAATCTAGGGATATAGGAATATAGGGATGTTGGAATCTGGGGATTTAGGTTTTGAGTAATATTACAATCCAAGGATATAATAATTTAGGGATGTTAGTAACTAGGAATATAGATATCTAGAGGTATGGGAATCTAGGGACTTAGGAATTTAGGAATATAGGAATCTAGAGATTTAGGTTTTGAGTAATATTGCAATCCAAGAATATAGTAATTTAAGGA